AGATTTTTGTGTTTGTTTTACAAACAATGATACTGTCTGACGTTGAAAGCCACCAGCCATTTTATCTTACACTTAAGATTTTAGAACAAACGATCTTCCTGTTGTGAATGGAAGTACGAACGGAAGTTTTAAGATATGTTACATATATGGCACCAAGTGTTTAGAGCAACTTTAGGAGACTAAATTTTCTTGGAATACTCCCTTTTCATAGACTCTCGTAACGTTTATTAAGATGCAACTTGTCCAGCTTTGAAATCTAAAAGTGATATAATTAATGAAACAAATGCTGTTTTTTACATTTTTTACGTTATTTTATTTCATTACCACATTAAAATTTTCTGAGTGAAATACTGAGCAAAAAAAAAATACAGTAATTAATTTTACTACAGAATGTTAGGTATGTAAAACTCTTCGTAACTTGTATATTTATTAAGAAAGATCTGAATAACGTTCTTCGTGGGATCAGTTCTGATTAACGTCATTTGGCCAAAATGTTTGTTAGATATTCCAGGATTTCTAAAAGTTTGTTTTTGTCTTCAGGTAGAAATCTTTCGAAATGTCGTCCTTTCCACCTGAGCTACTTTTGTGGATTAGTCCTTCAAGTGTCACTCTGAACTAGGTAGTCGCTCCCCAATTCAGCTTTGTTGTGGATCAGTATTTTCCTGCTGTTCAAAAGGAAATACAACTTTAAAGAAAGCCAGTAATGGTCTAGTTAACTTCATTAATCAGGGCTGTTGTAATTGCATCCTCCACTTTTTTGTATTCCGATATCCCAGCAGTAAGTCCGAAGGCTTATAACGCTAGAAATTGGGATTCGATCCCCTCAGCAAACACAGATCACCAGTTGTACAGCTTGCGCTAAAATAAATAAGCAGTCCATGTTTTATAGAAGATTTATGAGGTGTGATGGTAAAACAAAAAAGATGAAGCTCCACCACTGATGGTAGAACAAAAAAATAATGAAGCTCCACCACTGATGGTAGAACAAAAAAGATGAAACTCCACCACTGATGGTAAAACAAAAAAGATGAAACTCCACCACTGATGGTAAAACAAAAAAAGATGGGGCTCCACCACATCTAGTTAACTTCTATTGTTCTACCTTTTTCTATTCTTAGGATAGATGAAATATTATATATTAAAAAATCGCAGTAACGACATTTACAACTGATTGCTTGTGTGAGGTTTCTTTTGATGCAAAATTGACTTCTGTAAACATGATTTCCATAATAAATAAATGCATGACCTCTATTTACAGATAAGTATTTTTTTTTAATTATGGCTTCTTAAAGACATGTAATGTATAGCACCCACTCCTACTGTTGCGTTGCTCCTATCTGATCGAATTGTGGGATTTGGCTGTCACTCTTATAATGAATACACAAGTTGACTATAGAAACGAGTTATTTAGATGAATATGAAATTGAATAAGAAACCTAAACCTACGGATTCTGTACGCATGTGCAAAAAGCAGGAACGATACCTCGTGATGAAATCCACGAACTGAATGGCTTTATAACATATACTTTTGTGAAATTTTCTGATGCAGAATGCCGTTATTACCGAGCAGTTTCCACGCGTATAAAACCGAAACACACCAACCAAATCATGAACACAAATAGAAACATACCGTAGTTTAGAGATTTTATGTACAAGCAGGCTTGTTAATAAGTTCGAGGTTTAGTCAGTTAATTATCATGTTATTGTATGTGAACAATGTAATCTTCTTAAACCGAAACTACAAGAAAGTATAACCTAAAAGCTTCAACACACAACCATCTGACATGGCGAATCTAGCCACAGCAATCTTTATTTTCCTTGCGCAAGAAGTGCTTGGGGTCGTTTTTTCCTTGTCTATAGCGTATCTTGCTCCAGCGAATTCGTGAAATTGTAGGCAAACATCGTTAATAACAACGGTTTGTTTTTGAATGTCGCGCAAAGCTACACGAGGGCTATCTGCGCTAACCATCCTTAATTTAGCAGTGTAAGACTAGAGGGAAGGCAGCTAGACATCACCACCCACCGCCAACTCTTGGGCGACTTTTTTACCAATGAATAGTGGGATTGGTCGTCACTATATAACACCCCCACGGCTGAAAGGGCGAGCATGTTTGGTGGGACGGGGATTCGAACAATAGCCGGGCACAATAGCAATAGAACTCAACCGATGATTATAAACGTTCTAATCATTATAGGTTGTAGTTTTTCAGTACTGTAGTCAGTTTTCTATATAAAATTAACATCATTAGTTGATAAGTTACTTTTTTTATAATTCTGATCAATATAGTTTCTATATTCTTGATCAGGAGTTATTTATAAATATAAGGCATAACACTGTAGTTATTATTTCTCAAAGGAAAGTTTTCCACGAGAGAGTTCGACGTTTCCTTGAATCATTGTACCCAGTCACTTATAAAACGTTCATTAAAAAAAGTTCCACAGTAGCACAGCGGTATGTCTGCGGACTTACAACGCTAGAAACCGGGTTTCGATACCCGTGGTGGGCAGAGCACAGATAGCCCGTTGTGTAGCTTTTTGCTTAATTTACAACAACATCATTACGTTTACGTATGGCCCGGTATGGCCAGGTGGTTAGGGCGCTCGACTCGCAGTCTGCGGGTCGCGGGTTCGAATCCCCGTCACACCAA